CTATTACTATTACTATTACTATTACTATTACTTACTAATTACTATTACTATTACTATTACTATTACTATTACTATTACTATTATTATTATGATTACTATTATTATTTATTATTATTATTATTATTATTATTATTATTATTATTGTTATTATTATTTTATTTTTTTACTTTTCTTAGATCAATACAGTTGGAATAGATGTGGTTTTAAAAAGGAAAAAATTTATATAAGGGCGAGACCCTAAACAATCAAATTAAGGTGCACTTCATAAATTCACTAGGAAAGATTATTTCGATGCTAAATAAACCCCTCAATTTGATCATCTTGATCTCAAGATGTATGCACATGAGAAAAAATAGATTTAAAGTCTTGGAAATAGTTAAATTTATAGTGTATTATCTAGATCGTCAATTTTAAGAATATTCAAGTGTTGATGGATTTGCTTGATTGACAATATTTTTTAATCTTTAAATTGTATGATTAGATATAAAAATAAAATTTCAAGCCATCACCAAGATCTCTGATACTAAAACAATACATTTTAGTACTATTTGAAGGTGTGCTTTACTTTAGGGCCTCAGCCTTATACAAACCACGCCCTTTAAAAATAAAACATTTATAAAAGTCTTGCTAGCAAAGTGCTCTTACTGTAGGACCAAATATACAATTGGGTCCCCCATGAGCACCATATATGGCCCACAAAATAGCTCCATATGCATAAATGAACTCACCCGAGATAGTACAAGGCATGTGGTGTTTTAAAACCCAGATTGACCAAGTGAACTAGCCACCTAGAAATCCAGATGGGATTGGCGAATCAGGCAAATTCATCGATAGTGTTTCAAAAAATGCTTAGGTGGCCGGGGGGTCCAGGTCCTTAGCGTCTAGGCGGGCACCCAAAATCTAGGAAGCCCATTAGAAAGAAAAATTTCTCTATAGTCTAACGGTATAAATATAATTGTATGATACATAGGAGTTAGGGATTTATGGCACATCGAATATATAGTACACAAGTCTACATAGTACACACTCCTCTATAATCTATAAGCCCATAGTCTGATAGTCCACTAAATCTAATATTAATGGGTGATGCTTAAATCAATTTCTCGTAAATTTTAGAAACTTTTTTATCCTACGAAAAGCACCAAAAACTAGTTTTTTGGGTTTTTTTTTCTCTAAAATAGGTTCTAATAGGGTTTAGATTTCAAATGAACCCAAAACCCACGATTTTTCACCTTTAGTATTAAAAAAGACCAAAACAAATGCCTTCGACGAGGGGAATTTCCTGCCACTTAGGGCTAGGTGCCCGCTTAGGCCGGTTCCCTGGCGCCTAGGGACAACCCACCTAGGCCTTGCTGAGGTGCCCAGGCCTTCTGGACCATCTAAACACTGGGCGGTCCGCTTTTTAAAATACTATTCACCAGTATGAAAACTGGTGAGAAAAATAACAATAAAATTAAAAATAACTTGTATGAAAACTAAACAATTTGGTATGTCCAAATTGCACGGTTCCTGATAGACTCACTCAATTCTCTAACGGCACCTTATGATTCTAAAAAAAATCCGACCAATTGCAGTTACAACGAGGAAGTGTACGTCTAAAAGAATGAGACGATGAGGAATTGACTTAGTCTAAAGTCTAAACCAATTCCCAATCTAGATTGCCGGTTCTTTAAACACTGCAATGATCCATTCCTCAAAGTACAATTACAAATGCTAATGTGTCCCTAATCACACGAATAAGAAAGCAATTATTCTGCTAAAAAAAGGCAGTGTTGTATAACTATAAAAACCAAAAGAGCTCATGCTCTTCAAAAAGTACAAAACTAAAGCTTTATTTTTGGGGGGCCCATGTTTGTAAAAAGCATATCAAATACACTGCACATGAACCCCACCCTAAATCATGGATGGTTAAACAATTAACCTTTATCACAAACGAAGTTTAAGCACATGAGAGAGAGGGATGGAGGGAGTATAATAACAAAGTAAGTTTGAATAGTTTTATCTCAAGATTAATTGCCACCCTAATAAAACACCAACTTAGCTTCTTTTAAGGTTAGTGCCTCAAATTCACAAGAAACCAACACAAATATACTATTACTTTATCTCACTCCTAACTGTATATAAATAAGATTTGAAGTGTCCTTTACCCCTAAATCTCAAAGGGTTCTTTAAGATTTTACAAAGGGAGGGAGCAAAGTACAGTGGATTCCTGACCCCCCCACAGCCTGTACACACACCCACTGTCTGGCTCCATTTGTCAGATGGCCCCCAACAATTGCAACAAAAACAATCTTTAATGGCCAAAGATTCTTATGTAACATAACTATGCCCATCTCTCTCTCTCTCTTCTCTCTTATTTTCCACATTGAACTGCCTTTGATTAGGGTTTCCTCTCTCTCTCTCTCTCTTGTTATTTAGCCTGTGAGGAGTTGATGATATTATTCAGAAGAGGAGAGAGAGTGAGAGAAAAGAGAGCTTATGTACTAATGGTCTAGAGAAGGGAGAGAGAGAAGTTGAAAGTGGGGGTGGGGGGTGGGGGGAGAGAGAGGGAATTTATGTACCCAAGAGCACGAGTGAGGTTTTGCACCGAAAGGTGGAGCAAGAGAGAGAAAGAGGGAGCTGTGCACTGAAACTTACAGAGAGAGAGAGAGAGAGAGAGAGAGAGAGAGATGGATTGAATGGAAGTGAAGGATCTGAGCTTATGTACGCAACTGTAAGTAGCCATGAGCTCCTCTGCCATACCTTATCTCCATGTAATGGTTTTGCTGAACCCCATGTCTTCCAATTGTGTCAGATTCTGGGAAAGAATACCGGCTTTGGATTGAGAGGGAGGGGCCACAACGATATTATTGCCCCCCTCTCTCTCTCTCTCCTGGAATATTGAAATTTGTTTGTTGCAGTTCACTGAACCATGGCCATGAATGAGGCTTCACGGGAGCTTGAAACGTAAGAGAGCTTTGTATTGTCACCACCATTCTTATCATTTGCATCTTCTTCGCCGTCGTTGTCGTCCTCGTCATCTTCATCTTCATGGGTTGCATTTAGATTTTCAGCATCGTAGTCGTCCATCACTGATTCTTGTTGTTCTTGTTGTTGTTGTTTTTGTTGGGAGTTCATGATCCCCCTCATCAGATCTTCTGGCTTCAGTGCAAAAACACAATTAAGACACAACACAACTGGAAGAGAGAGAAAGAGCATGTTCTCTACTCGTCTTCTAGAGAGAGAGATCATGTGCTCGATTTGTCTTCTAGTTTGATACAAATGTAGAGAGAGATGGTCTCTACATGTTCGATCATTTCGATAGTAAGACAAGTGGTGGAAAGAGTGAGACAGGGAGAGAGCCCACATTCTCTACCTGTCTTATGCTTTCGATACCAAAGATGAATCGAGGCCACGAGAGAGAGAATTGCAGAGAGAAAAGGAGAATTTTAGAGAGAGAAAGAGAATTGTAGAGAGAGATAGAGTCGAAATACTTTGCATCAAGACATGGGAAAAGAGAGAGAGACTTATGACATTCATCCCAAATGAACATTGAAACACAGCTAGAAATATTCATGGACAGAGAGAGAGGGATAGTTGTAGAGAGAGAGAGAGAGAGAGAAATATTCTATATCATTACCTTCTTGGCCTCCTCATGTCCCTGAAACAACCGGACCGCCCCACCACCGGAATCCGGCATCTGTTCAACCGGCGGCAATATCGCCATTGGTCTCTCCTCCTCACCTTCATTCTTCTTATTGCTGTCAATCGAATGCTTAAACCTCTTCTTATAAAGTTCTTCCAATTGATTGAAATACGGGCACGTCTTAGCATCTTGAGGCCTCTTCTTATCGCTCTCTTTCACCTTCTTAAAATACTTATTTATATTCTCCCACTTCTCTTTGCACCTCTTTGCGCTTCGACTGTAACCCAGCCGAGCCATTCCAGCCGATACCTCCTCCCACAGTGGTCCCTTCGGCCCTGTCTCTCTGTACCTGCACTCACTTTTCTCTAAATTAAGAGAGAGAAAACAATGGAAACGGCCCAAAGTTTAGAGAAGGAGGGAAAGTGATTGAATGCAGGAGAGAGAACGAGTTAAGAGAGAGAAAATGAAACCGACACAACTTCTAGAGAGAGGAGGGAAGACATGAAATCAAGGTGATGTATATGTGATAGGGCGACTTCTTTTACAGTTAAGAGAGAGAAAATGGAACCCAAGTTTTAGAGAGAGAAGAGGAAAAGTGATGAAATGGGAAAGAGAGAGAGTGTGAAATAAGAAGTAGGGTTAGGTTTCTTCGAAGAAAGAAAACGGAGGAAGGTGCAACGAAATATGAGGAAAGTGCAGGATGAAAAATGTTAGAGAGAGAGAGAGAGAGAAAGTTAGAGAGAGAAAGAAGAAAACAAAAGAAGACCAGTGTACCAAACTAAAGGAGAGTGCCTGACAGAGAAGATGAAAATAGTAGATTGAAAGCGAAGAATAGATTAAAAACGAATAAGAACTATATTTTTCTACTGAATTGAAAGGGAAAAAAATGTTTTTTAGCAATAAATGAAATAGATTCTAAATAAATATGTTAGAGAGAGAAAGAGAGAAATAGTAGAATGTCAATCGTTGTTGCCCAGAGAAGGTAGAAGAAATGTTTAGAGAGAGAAACTAAAGACAACCGTGGCTCACTATATTTTGCAATTTCTCTCTCTAAAAGAGTGAGAAACAATCAAGGTTGCAGTTTGTCTTGCTCAAAACTGTTAGAGAGAGAAAGATACATTTTAGGGATTACAATGGCACATTATTCTCTCTCTTACCTGAACTCGAGCCCACTCCTCAACTTGATGAGAGCATGCACCTCAGCCTTTGGCCACCTCGAGCTAGCAACTTCAAAGCACACCACCTCTCTTTCTCTCGCTAGAACACCACCATCATGATTGTACTCGATCTCATTTGCCTGGGTTTCCTGCGTACCGGGATTTGCCGCGGGAACACTTGCCGGAAAACTAGTCGGAATCTGTACATTTTGGCCGGAGAACTTCTGCAAAAATGCGATAACGGCTGCGTCTTTCGAAGCTGATAAAGCCCTCTCATGAGCTAACATTTCTTGCTCTCTACTAACCCTAGCCATCTCTTGCCTCTTCCAAGCTTCCTCTCTCATGGCCCTCTCTTCCTCTCTCTTCTCTATAGTATCCAAAAACTTTTGTTGCAATTCCTCTTGCTTCTCTATCACCTGCTTCATGAGGTTCTCAAAAAACGCCATTATCTTCCCGCATTTTCGCTTGTGGGTTTCGCCAGAATTTGAGTTTTTTTGGCCAGAATCGGATGACGAGCCTGAAGAGAAGCTTATACCAGCAGTTTGGTTGACTGGAAAATCGGTGGAGAAAGTACTTTGGGTGGCCTTAATTTGATTTCCAGCCAAAATTCCGGCTGTCGCCACAACGGTATTGTTGCTGGTGGTGGTGTTGATATTGATATTCGCATTTGTGCTAGGAATAGGATTGTTATTGTTACTGTTGAGAGCTTCTAATTGGGTAAAGAACCTGTAAGTCTTGCCATCTTGTCTTCCTGCTCTTCCATCTTTCGTTCTCTTGTAATATTTATGGACGTTTTCGAACTTCTCTTTGCATTTCTTTGCGCTTCGATTGTAGCCAAGCTCTGCAAGCTTCCTGATCAAAAGATTAATGGAGTTTAGAGCTATGTTCAATTTTGAATAGAGACAAATGCAATAAAGAGTATATTGGGACAGGATCAGAACCCAGAAATTATGTCCTTGTGCAAAGAGAGAATTATTTAGCCCTAAAAAAGAGCGAGTTAAGCAATAAATTTTGTTGGTTCCAATAGCCATGAAATTCAGACTGAAATTTAGAGAGAGAGAGAGATGAAATTCAGTCTGAAATTTAGAGAGAGAGAGGTGTTGTGGATCCCTTCAATGAATTCTGCATGAATTAAGAATATTGTGGGTTCCCTTAATCAAAACTTAATCTAAAACTAAATGTTGTGGATCTCTTCAACAATGAATTCTGAATGAACTGAGAGAGAGAGAGAGAGAGTTATGAAGAGTGGAGGTGATAGATTTCTGAACTTTCCCTTCATTGCTTATAAGGAATTTAATGCTCAATGTTTCTGAATTTTTTTACTATTCTACCTGAAAAACCGGATCTAGATTTACTAAATTTTATGGTTTCTATCGTCCGGACTATTTGGTCTGAACCTAAGAGAGAGACAGAGAAGTGAGAGAGAGAGGTGAGATTTCATCCTAACAATTTGCTCTGAACCTAAGAGAGAGAAGTGTTGAGAAGTGTGTGTGTGTGTGTGAGAGAGAGAGAGAGAGAGAGAGAGGTCTAAGAATTGAGAGCGAGAGGGTGCAATCTATGGGTTCCTTCATGCGAGAGACAGATAATTCCTTGGGCTTCTTCATTGAAGC